GAAGGTCACAGAAATGACAATAAGCAAATAAACAGGAGTGAAAGACAGACATGGAGGCAGAGAAAGAAAGAAGAAAAGCGATCATTGCATCAGATTGCATCAGTGTGTCATTGCATCAGATCTCTGGTTAGAAAAATACCAAATAAATACAGTGTACACTTTATACTTAATGATGATGTGCTACAAATGGGTGGTGCAATGATTTTTGTAATAAGGAACCCTGAAAAGCTGACTTCACACTCCCAAAGCCAACAGACCAAACAACGCAATGGTAAGGATGCTTCAAATATACATACTCTGGGAGAGTGAATATGTACTAGATAATGTGTATAAATATGTATTAATGAGTACCACTACTCATTATTCATAAGGTTACCATACTGGTAAGGTTATTCTTTTGTCATTAATTTTTCCATCAAATGATCTAATATTTGGGAAGAAAAACCACATGTGGTTAAGCACAACTGCTTTACTACTTACTGAATGAGAGTAGTTTAGTTGGGTTTAATTTATTCTTAAAATTTAAGCCAGGTATGAATTATGTATATATGTTTATTACCTAATGCATTAATTTGATTACATATAATTCTATCCTCAACATTGGTTGGTTACTATACAGGTTGGTAAATGTATTTTTAATACTTACGCTTTCTAAGGTTTCATTGGATAATTAATGGTTCTTATTTTCCACAAAAAAGTTTTCTTTGAAGCCCTTTCTGATGGGGAAACATTCTGTTGTAGGGTTTGACAAAGAACCTTTAAGAGTTCACCAAGAGGGACAACTATAGAACTATTAAGGTTTCTCAATTTTCTAGGAGTGTAGCCATAGGCAAATTATGTTTTATGTGTCAGATTATTTACAAAGTATCTGAAAACCCCAAAAAGGTGTGGCACATTTATTATAAATAAAAACTAAAATATCACATTTACATAAGTATTCAAATTTACTATACTCTGTATAGTCTGTGAAGTAAAGGTATTAATTGTTTAGTAGTAATAAACCTGGTCTTTTAAACCTTTTCTTTATAAATAAACATAATAGGCTAAAGGTCAATAGGCTTTATGCAAAGAAATTTTGCATGCTTTATATAAATTTCATTATTGTGATGAGAAATCCCCTGTGTGAAATTAGCTCTCGCATACCACAGAGAATTTGGGCTCTATTTTCATGGCCACGGTGCACGTATAAAAACAAGGTCATATTTTTGTGAACATCGTCGCAGGTGTTAACATGGCACAAATGTAAACAGGGGTTGGGTTTCAGTGAATACATTACTAAAAGTTGTCCAATCAAATCATCTCCTTTTGCTTTCTTTACTATCTAAGTGCGTGCTGTGCTGCACAGTGACATTTTTGTAAAGACATTACGAAATGAATTGCCATTTACTAGCCACAACTAAGTTGTTTGCTCTTTTTACAGTTATAATAATCAAGTGTGTTGTATTTATTTAGCATTTACATGAAGTAGTTTCTTTATATTGAAATGCATATTATGTTAGATAATACAATACACATTAGTGCAGTGCATTAATTTATGACCACAAAACTAGCAAGAGCGCTCAAGGGCAAAAATTTTGGATTGCACCCAACCAAAAAATAAAAACCAAAAAAACACCAGCATTAACCAGCAAATCATGCTTGCATTGGCATGAAAATAGAGCCATTTAGAGTAATTATATGTACAATAATCTTTATGGCTGCAGGACAACTGCTCCAGTGTCATCACTCCACTATTAGAGAGAGTTTACCTCTCGCCAATGTATGGTCTGGAATTTACCTTAGGCTTCATCGGAAACCTACTGGTGGTCCTAGGCTATATCTTTTGCCTCCCTGCTTGGAAATCAACAAACGTGTACCTGTTTAACCTGTCTATGTCCGACCTCATCTTTCTGTGCACTTTACCCGAGCTGTCCTACAACTACACTTACAACTTGAAGAGATTCAATTCTTCACTATGCATGATTAACCGCTACATCCTCAATGTGAACATGTACTCCAGCATCCTTTTCATGATGTGGGTAAGTGTGGACCGGTTCTTGTTGCTTTGTCACCCACAGCGAGAACACATCCTGTTGACTCTCAAGGCTGCATTATGCATCACCATCCTGAACTGGATCTGGGTGACCATTCAAATCGCTCCCCTCATTGTCTTCATTGTCCAGGACTTGGAGCTAAATGGCTGGACAGTGTGTCGTGATTTTGCGAGTCTGGGAGTGGCCAAAGTTACTCTGATCTACACCATAGTGCTCACCATAACTGGATATGTGCTGCCACTGGTGGCTTTGTTTCTATCATCACAAAAGTTGGTTTCTGAACTCATGAAAAGAGAAGAGATGCGTGGGACGTCATTCCAAAGGCCAGTAAGAATCGTGAGGGCTGCAGCAATCATGTTTCTGGTGCTCTACACACCCATCCATATAATGAGGATTGTGCGGCTCACATCACGTCTTCCTGAATTAAATTTGTCACGGTGCATCATAGACTACATCAATGCGGTTTACATAGTGACACGGCCGATTGCATATGCTCATAGTGTCATCAACCCTGTGTTTTACTTCCTCATGACAGACAGCTTTAAAGAAGCCCTGCAGGACAAGTGGAGGCAGCTTAAAAGGATGCTAATGACCACACCATAAGCAAGTCTGACCTATCAAAGAAAGACAGCACTAATGACAAGTGCCTTGCTTTCAAATCTTCCTGTATTGTATGTTTTTTATATACAGATGGGTGACAAATTAAAGCCAAAGCCAACATAAAGTGTCTTAGTAAAGTTCCTGAAATATTTTCACTACACCTTGGCATAGATTTTACAAATCTCTAGAACTGTACTGGAGCCATAAACTCCATTCTTCCAAAAGATACTTACTTAATTGGTATTTTGATGATGGTTGTATTGAGTTCCTCGAAGAGACCATTCCCTCAGGATAGAAATGTTTAATCATATGATAAAGGTGATCAGTCAGAAGAACTATGTTTTGACTACCAGTTATTCTTCCCTCCAAGGCAGACATATTCAAACTTACACTACAGCAGAAGGGGGTGGTGAACATTAAGAAACATAACAGTAGGCCTACATTTTCGATGTAAGCATTTTACAAATTGCCTGTCTCCTGTGAAACCATGAATAGTTTCTGACCATCACAGTAGACCAAAGCAAACAAACAGCATTTTACATCACTGTACAATTAGAGTTAGGCAGGTCTGAAGTAATCATTTAAACATTTCTTTTTCTGGTATTTTCCAACTCACCTGCATCACACCTGAATACCGCTAAGGGGACAAATGGAGCCAAACCACGCCAGTAAAATGCAATGCATACTTTTTTCCTTTAATTTACACACACACACACATATATATATGTTTGTGTGTGTGTGTTTTTCTAATCTTCATCTCTCTAGTTTTAATGAGCCTGTAGAATCAGAATTCCCATGTGGTCTTCTGCTGTTGTAGCCCTGATCTGCCTCAGGGTTCAATGTGTTGTGGGTTCTTAGACGCTTTTCTGCACACAACAGTTGTAAAGAGTGGTTATCTGAGTTACCACAGCCATCAGCTCAATCCAGTCTGACCATTCTCCTCTGATCACTCTCATCATCAAAGCATTTTACGCACCATTCTGTGTACACTCTAGAGACTGTTGTGACCGAAATTCCAAGGAGATCAGCAGTTTCTGAAACCATAATATAATAGTGACATTAATTTTATAGTTTATAATTCAGGCCACCAGTAATGAATATACATGTTGCTTCTGATATTTGTAGAATGCTTTTTGTCTTGTGATTATATTCACTATATGTCATTATATATAACTTATTTTAAACTAATCCTGGTACTTGGTACATTTAAATATTTTCCAAATAGCCAAAAATAAATATAGTAAGATAAAATAGTTATTTGCAGACATGTAACTTTAAGGGGAGCTATTGTCAGCAGTAAAATACTATTATTCCACTAGAATGCCTGTTGTTACTACTGAATATTTATCAATAAAAAATGGATCTTCTTGAATAGGATTGTGTTTTCCATGCAGTTATTGTGTTTCTTTTGTATCGTTTTAGTTATTATTAAACAGAAATGTTAAAGTGCAGTGTGGCCAAGTATGGTGACCCATACTCGGAATTTGTGCTCTGCATTTAACCCATCCAAGTGCGCACACACAGTAGTGAACACACACCCGGAGCAGTGGGCAGCCTTTTTTTGCTGCGGTGCCCAGGGAGCAGTTAAGGGTTTGGTGCCTTGCTCAAGGGTCTCACCTCAGTCGTGGTATTGAGGGTGGAGGAGAGCACTGGTCATTCACTCCCCCCACCTACAATCCCTGCCAGACCTGAGACTCGAACCCACAACCTTCAGGTTCACCTTTGGATTACAAGTCTGCCGCTCTGACCATTAGGCCACGACTGCCCCTCATTTTCAGTAGAATCCTGCACAGCAAAGTAATAAGCACTAATAATAAATAAAAACTAGAAGGGCAAACATTAAACAGTAATATTATAATACAATTTAGTGGGATCAAATAAGTCTTATGAATATTAAAATCAATTAACCCTACAAAAAAAGAACAGAAGTTCAGTTGACCTTGTTGACCTAGACAGATAGATAGATAGATAGATAGATCACTTTATTAATCCCAGATGGAAATTCACAGATTGTAGCAGCAATCCAAAAAGTATAGTGTGAAAGTAAGAGTATATAGAATAATAAAAATAAACATAAAAAGTAGAAAATTATAAAATATAATATTGGACATAATGTGAGTATAGCCTTATATTCAATTCAATTTTCAATTCATTTTTATTTGTATAAATAAAAATGACCTTTTTTTTTTTACAAAGGTCATTGTCTCAAAGCAGCTTTACACAAACAAAAGTAAAGTGAAGTGTGTGTGTGTGACGCCTCTGATGAGCAAGCAGGGCGACGGTGGCAAGGAAAAACTCCCTGAGATGGTGATAGGAAGAAACCTTGAGAGGAACCAGACTCAACAGAGAACCCATCCTCATATGGGTTTACACTGTAGTGCCCGTGTGTGTGTGTACAATGTGCGTTCGTGTAGTCCACAGAAAACAGCTGAAGCATCTTCGTGGCAGTGTGAAGCATTGCCAGTGGACAGGTCCAGAGTGGAGGGGGGGTTGTCTGGATCACCAGCAGCTCAGGAGTGATGCTCATCTGGTCCAGAGCGTAGGGGGGTCTGGATCACCAAATATTTTACCCTTTTGTTACATCCTTTTTGAGTTTGCAGTACTAACTGCCCTCCTTTTCTGTGAAATCTTCTCTTTTGGCCTTTTATGGACACTATGTGATGAACTGGTGTGCAAGCTGCTCATTCCAGTGCAAGCATTCTGGCCATTTGTAATTCTTGGAGTGTGGAAGCAGAGGCTTCAATCATGGAGCAGATGGAGTACCAAAGCACAGCATTCAGGTCCTTGGAGTGTCTGTCAAGAACAAGACCACAGTAAAACTCTATTACATTTTACTGGCCATGCAGACAGTAAACAAGAACTATAGGCTAGTTTTTCCTTTGTTAGTTAAAATCCATTTGGTGAAATATATATGAAAAGAAGATGGTAAGTACACAAAATGACAAAGAATCAGTTAATGTATTAAACATATCCCCCCTCCTGGAAAAGAAATCATGAATTGTCTCCCTGCCCCCAGTTTATCATAAATAAATGAAGGCTTTTAGCTCAAAAGTGAAAATATTGGATCGTACCAAAAAAAAAAAAAAAAAACACACTAGTTAACCATCAAATTATGTTTGCACTGGCATGAAAATACAACCCTTTATGTGCAGTAATTATATGTACAATAATCTTTATGGCGGCAGGACAGCTGTTCCAGTGTGATCGCTCCACTATTACAGGCAAGTTACCTCTCACCAGTGAAATTCAAGAAAGAAATTCAGTTCTGCACTGTGCATGATTAATTGCTACATCCTCCATGTGAACATGTACTCCAGCATTCTTTTCATGATGTGGGTAAGTGTGGTCTGGTTCTTGTTGCTGTGTCACCCACAGCGAGAACACATCCTGTTGACTCTCAAGGCCTCGTTGTACATCACCATACTGAACTGGATCTGGGTGAATGCTTAAATTGCTCCCCTCATTATCTTCATTATCCAGGACTTGGAGCAAAATGGCTGGAGAATGTGTCGTGATTTTGCGAGTCTGGGAGTGGCCAGAGTTACCCTGATCTTCACCATAGTGCTCACCATAACTGGATATGTGCTGCCACTGGTGACTTTGTTTCTATCATCACAAAGGATGGTTTCTGTACTCATGTAAAGAGAGGAGGTGCTTGGGACATCCTTCCAAAGGCCTGTAAGAATTGTGAGGGCTACAGCAATCATGTTTCTGATGCCCTACACACGCATCCATGTAATGAGAATTACACAGCTTCCTGAATTAAATTTGTCACAGTGTATCATGGACTACATCAATGCGGTTTACGCAGCAAATTCCTCAATGTTAAATTCCCAGTGTTAAGGCATTTCAGAGTAAAGTGTTGAGGTTCTAGTGTTAGATCTTGAGAAATTAACACTATCAGTGTTTACCAACAGGAAACCAACACCTGCCAGTGTTATTTCCAACATCCAGGCATTTAGGCAGTGGTGTCACTGAAGAATTTTCCAGATGCCATATTTATCTTGTTTTGCGGAGGATGAGAAACAGCAACTGGTGAGTAAAGCTACTTAAAAGTTTGCATTAGACTTTCTATATAGAAATATACCTATATGTGTACTGTTAGTTAAATTATTTCAGATACAGCAACAAATTTCAATTTTAACAGATTATTTGTCGTCGTTTGTGTAGTTGCTAACTAGAAGGAGCCTGTTGAGCTATCTGAAACTGTCCTTGACAGCAATTATAATATGCTTTAAAGTCATTTTAATGTCTGTGAGCGTATTATATCGCCATGTTTCGCATTTTCTCAAACATTAAGTAGTTCTGTGATATGTCTGGACACGTTACGTCAACTTTTTTTTTTTTTTTAAAAGCATGAATTTCACATTTACACTATATTTCTAGTGTAGGCTATTTTAGTGCACTGTAAGCAGCCACATATTCGTAGAATCAGATCAACACTTCTACTTTAATCTGTATTTTAGTGGCAAAACGAACAAGGGGAAGCACCACCAGGCAAATGGAATGGGCGGGTTTTACAAATGCCATTTTCCCGCATTTCAGAGAGTTGCAGAAACTGCAAACTGGTGAGTAAAGCTACTTAAAAGTTTGTGTTTGATAAACTTTCTGTATGGAAATATATATGTACTGTTAAATTATTTCAGATACAGCAACAAATTTAAATTTTAAGGGATTATTCGTCGTTGTTTGTGTAGTTGCTAACTAGAAGGAGCCTGTCGAACTATCTGAAACTGTCCTTGACTACTATACATTACTGACCAGTATAAACAAAATGTTTTAAAGAAACTGATCAGTGGATCCATGATTTTTCTGGTGTCTGAATAGGTGACTGCGTGATTGAATTGACCAGTGAAATCAGCTGTGGGGCGGGGTTTGCACTTAACTAGTTTGGGGGAAAAAAAATCACGCTTGCTAACTAACACTAGTTGTATTGCATTTGGACTTTTTTGTGAATATATATGTTGTCTAACATTAGTTTAGCAAACTATACCTTACTAACTAGCTAGTTAGTTAGTTAGCTAACACGTGTATCTAAATGACCTCTAAAATTGCTTGCTTTTTTGTTGCTATCAACTGATAATCTAATTTTGAATATGATCTGTAGGTTTGGCTTGTGAAGTGGGGAACACTGATTACCAAGGTTCAATACCTGAACCAAAAAAAGTATGTCAAGAAGGCATGCTTTGAGATCTTCATCAATGAAGGTATAGGGGCTGGCAACAGGGCTTAGACAAGGCAAGGCAACAGGTTAGGGCTGGCAACAGGTTAGGGCTGGCAACAGGGCTGAGAATCTAAATTAGAATTTAACCAAATGAAATGGTGTAATGATTGCCATGCAAACTCTGAGCAACTCATGAGTTCATGGGTCTGAAAGCCCTCACACATACAGTCATGTGAAAAAATTAGGACACCCCATGAAAGCCTGTGTTTTTTTTTTTTAAACATGGTTTTAAACATTTATCTTCATTTTAACAATATTGGGAGATTCAGGTAATATAACTAAACAAATAAAAACAAAGAAAAGTCTTTTTAAAATGATCTGTAAAATATAATTAAAAAGAAATCCAATTTCTTGTGAGGAAAAAGTAAGGTCACCCCCACATTTATTTGTACTTAAAATGGCTAAAATTACCTACAGGTGTATCATGTCAGGTGCAAATTATTAGAACATCGTTAGAGAGCATTTTGAAGGAGACTTGCCTTATTTAAACCTCAGACATTTAGTTTGGTTTGCTCTTAATTGTTGAAGTGAGAGGTATCACCATGGGATCCAAAGAGCTCTCTGAGGCCTTCAGAAAGATGATTGTTGATGCTTATGAGTCTGGTAAGGGATATAAAAAGATCTCAAAAGAATTTGTAATCGGCCATTCCACTGTCTGGAAAATCATTTACAAGTGGAGAACATTTAAAACAACTGCCAACATGGCCAGGTCAGACCGCAAGATGCTTAAAGAAGTTTCCAAAAACCGTAAAATATCATCACAGGACCTACAGCAAGCTCTTGCTACAGTTGATGTCAAAGTGCATGAATCTACAATCAGAAAGAGACTTTAATTATCATGGGAGGTGTCTAAGAAAAACATGAGGGCAAGACTGAAGTTTGCCAAAGAACACATAGACAAAGCCCAAGACTTCTGGAATAATGTGCTTTGGACAGATGAGTCTAAAATTGAATTATTTGGACACCATAACAGAGGGCATGTTTGGCGTAAACCAAATACAGCATTTCAGCAAAAGAACCTCATACCAACTGTGAAACATGGAGGTGTTATGGTTATGGTTTGTCGATGCTTTGCTGCAGCAGGACCTGGCCAGCTCACCGTCATAGACTCCACTATGAATTCTGCACTGTATCAGAAGGTGCTTGAGGAACATGTGAGACCATCTCTCAAAAAATTGAAGCTGAAGTGGAACTGGACCTTGCAACATGACAATGACCCAAAACATACCAGTAAATCCACCAAGGACGGGCTGAAAAGTAAAAAATGGAGAGTTCTCTCTATTGAGATCCTGTGGGGTGATTTAAAACGGACTGTGCATGCAAGAAACCCCTTAAACATCACACAGCTGAAAGAATTCTGCATTGACAAGCGGGGGGAAACTTTCTTCCAGTCGATGTCAGAAACTGGTAGATGGCTACAAGAAACGTCTCATTGAGGTTATTTCAGCCAAAGGGGGAAACACTAGCTATTAGGACATAGGGTGTCCTAACTGTTTCCTCAGTTAAAATACTCATTTTTGTTGATTTCTTTTATTTAATAAG